CTTCCTTCCTTTCTTTCTTTCTTTCTTTCTTTCTTTCTTTCTTTCTTTCTTTCTTTCTTTCTTTCCTTCTTCCTTCCTTCCTTCCTTTCTTTTTTTCTTTCTTCCTTTCTTTTCTCTCTCTCCTTTCTCTCTTTATTTCTTCCTTCCTTTCTCTGTCTCTCTCACTCACTCTTTCTTTTCCTCCTCCTCCTCTGCTCCAACCCTGGGGTCCTTTGGAGGAGTGGGGAAGGTAAGAGGGGAGGCAGTCTCTGCTCGCCAAGCACTGTTCTCCACAAAGAAGCAGGCTGGGGAATCTTCCCAGCCAGCCCAGGAGACCGGGTGATGCGCCAGAGAGCTGCTCTTAGGACCTCGGAGCTTTCTGCCAAATTGAAGTTAACGCCACCGAGCCACCTCTCTCCTTTCCCTAGCCACCGAGCTCCCTACGGAACACAGACGTAGAGTCGGCGTCAGAGACTGAGGGCAGTCAAAGCGTCCGGGATCCGGCAGAAATTGCTGCATTATAACGTTGCCTGGGCACCCAGTCCCAGCACCGGGGAGGGGCTGATCAGCAGGGTGCGAGATAATAAAGATGTTACGTTCCATAAGGAGCGAGATAAGGACTTGTCACCCTTCACCGAGAGGGGCATTTTCAAATCCGAGGCCAAGCGCTTGACCGTGTTCAGACTAAATTGGAGCCCGGATTTGGTTCTTTTGGGTTAAAGCGGGGAGGCAGCGGGGTTCTTGGACTTTCCGTTGGATTTAGTTGCATTTCCCCCATGTCCCTCGTCCACCCCACCCCCTCCCGGAGTGCACTAGCCTGCCACCTGCCCAGAGCGCAATTAAGGAAGCCACCCAGCCAAGCTTGGCCATTTTCTCTGCAGATTCCCAGCCCCCCAATATACAGGCGTCTCCATTGTTCCGTGAACTTTAGGCGTCCGGGGGACTCTTCAAGGGCTTTGGGGAGAGGAGGGTAGCTACTGGGGTCTGGGGTGCTCGTTCTGCATTCCCTGGTCCCCAATAACAACTACACGGGCCCAACGGCGGCGGGATTTGACGGCGGGTTGTTCGCTCCTATAAATTGCCCAGCAAAGTATTGGCTCTTTTTATTAGTGAGTTCCGAGGGCTTCCAGAGTCATCAATGGGGATTTTATTTATTAGGGGCCCTCTTCCTCGCCGACACCGTGGCAATATTTCCTCATCTAATGTTTAACTGCTTAGAAAACGATGGTCGGTGCCATAAAATATCTTTGTGTTCGGGCGGTGATTAACAAGGCCAGCTCCGGGCCCCGGACTCTGGCTGGCGGCCTCCTGCATTCGAGCCTGGGACCGCAGTTCATTTGCAAAAACCAAACCAAACCCTTGTCCAGCATGGCCTCTGCCTGTACTCAGATTTTCGGGCCGCAGGTGCAGCGTTTAGCCCTCTGGCTGTCTCCTCTACCTGTGTATCTGGTACCTGGCCAGGGTACGGAAGGGCCGCTGCCCTACATCAAAGCCACGAATGTGTGGGTAGAGCGCTGGGCACGGCTGCCACTCTGCTCTTTGAGCGGGATAGAGCCTGCCTTCCCTCTCCCCTCTGGAGACTTGCTACGATGTGTGGAGGGTAGGGATGGGGGCTCACCCCTACTCTGGCTACGGAGCAATAGCGAAAGACATAGCACGTGAAGTGTTTTGCAAGCCTTAAAGCGCTACATAAACGCTAGCAACTAGAATTATTATTCTATGCAGTCGCACTGGTTTGCACGATTGTCGCTTTCCAATTTAAGCATGAGAGACCTTTCTTTCCCTCTTCCTAGCTTCTTACCTGGAACTTACACGAGGGTGTCTTTGGGGACCCTGCTGCGACGGCAAAGCAACATGCATGCATAGCGATTTGCAGGGCAGTCCCTTTACATTTTGGGCGTGAGAAACCCTGCCCTCTCTCTTTCTAACTGACGACTTGGAGACTTGCACTGGAGGGCTCTTGGGGCCCCCAGTTCGAGCTGCAAACTATATGCATGCAGAATGTTTTGCTCTGATGTCAGCTGGAGACTGGGTCAAAAGAGACCCTTCTCTCTTCTGCATTCCCACTCCCTCCTGGGGAGGAGACCTAGGATGCCTCCGGCTCTTAAACTCTCATCTAACTGCCTCGGGCCGGCCGAGGGCTTGCAAATTCAGGCCCTAGGCATCCTCTTGTCCTCCCCCTCCCCACCCCCTCCGCCACCGCTCGGGCCGGGAGCCTCAAGCACCCTCCAACCCTTCGGGCGGCAGGAAAAATCTTGGGTAATTAAGTTGTCTCCAAGCCGTGGGGCTGCTCCCGCCTGAGTTTGCTTGCAGCTGTGAGGCCGTGGGGGTGAATGGCATTTAAATGCAAAAGTCTCTGAGAATGGAGAATTCCAACTTCTGCCTCGCAGCCAAGCCAGAGGAGCAAAGAAGCAGCCCAGCTCTGCTCAGGCTCCCCTGATCTCGGCTGAGAGGAGAGGGAGAAAGGAGAAGGGAAGGCGGGCTGCTCTTTGCCTCATTGCCTGCCAGCCAGCTAAGGAAGGCTGTTTGCAATTTCAGGGTCCCAGCCTGCCCCTCTCCCTTCCCGGAAACTTTCTGGGGACCCCAGGCAACTCCAGGGCCACCCCTCTCTCAGGCAGCCCTCCAGCTTTTTGAGCCGCGGCTGGCTCCACAGCGTCCAGTTCCCCTCCTTGCCCTCACCTCTTCTCCCCTCCTGGGGAGAAGGCGTTTGGCCAGAGCTGGAGGCCCGGGCCGTCCTGGGACTTAGGCCCGGTTGGGGACTTAGCCATCTCCCCCCCCCCCAAAAAAAGCTAGAACAGTTCCACAAAGGGGTTCTTGTGTGAAACACCCCCCTCCCATCAGACACACCAATTTGCAAGTAGCAAAAAGCATTGAAGCCCTCCTCCAAAAAAAAAAAAAACCCACTATTTTATTCAGGCCTTTTTTCCCCCTTTAAATCTGAAAGCCCCAAAATAGACTCCATGTGGCCATAAGCGAAGTCAGCCCCTGGCTCGGGCTTTGAAATCGCTCCAGCAATTATGTAAAAGAGCCATTCACTAACAGGGGAATTAAAAGGGGCTCGCCTGCTTCCCTTTCATGCCGGGCCTCTCATGTTTGGCTTTTCAAAGCCCTTCCAACACGAGGGCTTTCTCCGGGACAAAAGGCGGAAGAAAAAAAAGTCCCCAAACTTGTAAATTGAACGTCAAGGGAACTTTAAACAATTTAAAGCCCATAAATAATGATAAAGGGGACTGGCAAAAACGGCAAACCCATTCAATTAATAGAGTTTCCCAAGCAAAGATCAAGTACTCTCTAGAATAAGAGCCTGCCTGGCCTATTCTTCGCTCCTTGGGCGCTCAGGGAAAGCGGGCCATGGGGCTGGCTTTCTCAAGCGCGTTGGCAAACCAACACTTCGGGGGAAGGGGGGGGGGGTCGAGGAATTTATAG